GACATGTAAGTGTGTTCATAACATTTTGACCGATATTTGGGCATAACACTAGTGATCGCACGAGATTAATTTTGTATAAAAACAACACCGAAAATAAGTTGCTGAAAACGTGATTTCCACTAAACATAGCTTTACTACCGTGTTCTAAAGTCTGTTATTGATCTCAAGTCAAAACATATTTGAGTACTCTTAGTAAATTACACTTAAAATATAAATAACTGCTTAATGCTTAGAAATAAAAGTTTGCATCTAGCTTAAATAATTAATTTTATGATATTTTTATTTGAAATTTGAATTAATGGTGCTATAAGAATTTGTGAAATGAATATGTTTTAAATAATTAGTAGTTAAGTGTTATTAGGTTTGTGACGCTTTCCGCGTGTCTTTCGTCTGCTCGCTTGTAATGTATCAATCACGCTGAATATTAGATCTAAGAAACTTTGTGGCTTTATCTTATCTTCTCTCTTAACACGATTTACTTCTTTAATAGCATTAGTACTACCAGTACTGGAGTACATAGAGGCTTCTGTAGACTGGAACATATTAGAAAATTTAGTATATGAAATAATTATTATTAATTATATTCAAATTAAAAATTGAAACTCACATTTGCGTAAATATTAATTAATAATAACATAATTACAATTATAAAAGCTGTAAAGTTTTTCATATTGTGAAAAAAAGTTGGTTAATATTTTTTATTTAGTTTTGAACTTGTAACACTTCTTTTCAACCGATTTTAACGTTAATACCTTGAGAAGAATACATAAAATTTGTTAACGATACCAAAAAAGAATTTTAAGAATATATTAATTACACGATAAAAGTTTAAATAAATTTTTTTTAAATTTATATTAGTACAATTTAAAACTTCAGCACAAACGAACAAGCGCTCAGCAATTTATAATGTAAAGCAATTTATAAAAAGTTTTTTATGTGTTCGCCCAAAAGCAACAATCGATTGCGATTGTCTTGCATTTTGTGGGTGACCTACATTTTTATAAAATTGCATGCTAAACTAACATTGTTTTATCATTTAAATTGTATTTTATTCATTATGAATTATGATTTTTCAATGATGTATATGATGTATTTATATAGTACATAAGATCTTAACTCTCAACTCTCTATTGTTCTCACAAATGATTAGGGTTACGTAGCAAATTTCTAGGAAATTGAAATTAGTAGATTAATTTTTATAGAATTAGAACTAACTAGAACTAGCACTATTTAGAACTGTCGCATAAGTCGAAGTTTGTCCACTTCGCCACTACCACAAAGTTCTAGTAACAGCCCTAAACATAAATCAGAATTTTCCTTTTATACTATTCATGTTTTAGTTCCCATTTCGGAGAGATTACCATCATGTGTTAATAAGAAATAAAATACGCTGATATTCAGTATCACACAACTTGCATCTTTTTTGGAGAGGTTTTTGTCAATCAAAAAGTTTTAAGTTTATCCAAATAAATATAAATGTAGTCTTAGAAACATAGTTAAACCAACAAGCAAATCTGTTTTAAAGAGGTATTCTTTAAAAGGGTTATCATTTTCATCGAACTGTCAGTTCAACTGGGTGTGCCATCAACTAGGTTTCCCATCAACAGGGTGTGTCTTCAACACGGGGGTCCCTTCAGAAACGGAGTCCATTTATCAGAGGTGTTTCATCAATAGGGGTATCCATTCCAAATTTTTGTACGTCCGCTCAGCAGAGGTACTCAAAAGTGGTCCAATAGTGGTATTTGTTTAATATAGGTGTCCCTTCAATAGGAGTTTTTCGTTTACCGTCTCATCAATAGATGTGTCCTTTCAATAGAGTTGTCCCTTAAGTAAGGGTTTCGCTTCAATAGGTGTATTCCTTTAAAAGGTGTGTCCCTCCAATAGAAGTGCCCCTCCAATAGAGATGTCCCTCTAATATAGGTATCCATTCAATCCTTCAATAGAGGTATCCCTTCAATAGGTTTTCGTTTAATAGGATTGTACCTTCAAAAGTGGTGTTTATCCAATAGAGGTAGCATTTCAAAAGATGTTCGTTTAACAGCGGTGTTCCTTCAACAGTAGTATACCTTCAACGAAAATGTTCCTTCAACGCGGCTATATCTCAAGAGAAGCGTCCGTTCAACAGATCAGTCTGTTCATTAAGGATGGTGGTTTAAGAGGGATGTCTTTGAACAGTGGTCTCCCTTCAACACTTGTGTTCGTTCAACAAAAATGTTCCTTTAACGGGTGCATATTGTGTGTGTTCAATAGGATTGGGTTTTCAATAGGAATGCTGCTTCAATAGAGTGCTCTCTTCAATAGATGTTTGTTCAATATCATTCAAGGATATCTGAAAGAAAAGTTTCCATCGTGTCGTGGTTTTTATAACAAATTTTTTTCCCAATATTTAGAAACTTATTTGTATAGCGTATATGCAGCTAAAATTTATTGGTTCTTCAGTGTTTCGTGTCTATACCTATACTTCGTGACTAGTGTGTGTATCAAATTTGTAAGTTCAAACCTCTCATAAGTTTTAGAACTTATGCTATAGCTATTTATATATTGTTTTTATTTTTGGTTTATTTCAGTCTCTAAATATAAAAAAATAAAATTTTAAAATATTTTTTTAATATCATATTTTATAAATTAATCGCTTAACAACAAATCCTGTATAATACATCTGATTATTCTTTATATATCTACCGGAGAAATATGTGATCTCATGAAACACCTCATTCTATATCTGCTCACTTTAATTATTATGGATTCTTTTTAATTATAATTTAATTTATTGTTTTAATGACCAAATTTGATTTATATATTTTTGTATAGGGTAATTGGTTTTAAAAATATTCTATTGTTAGCGATACTATGACTAGGGTCCATAGCATCTTCTGATAAAATATTTGTAATGGTAATTTAATTAGTCATTATTATAGGTAATTATATTTCTAAGTCAATTTTCAATTAAATTAATCGTTTTATTTGCTGGAAAAGTTCTGTTAGTATCAATCAATCACTTTTTAATAAAATTCTGAGTATGCCTTTCACTATTTTTACTATATATAATATTATATGCGTGTGCTTAAAATAATAAAATAAATATTTTTTTTAAAAATTGTTTTATTTGCGGTAAACGCGCAGTATAAAGTATGTAAAAATATCTTAGTCAGTTAAATAAAAAGACAAATCGCCTTTTCGTAGGAATTTTTTAAGTTGTAATTAATTACAACAACCTATGAGATGTTGTTTAGTAGTTTGGTGCACCATATGGAGATGGAGCATAACCACCTTGACCAGTAATACCAGCTAAACTAGCAAGACCGTGGCTGCCTGGTAAAAGTTGATAACCTCCAGTATTAGCAGAAGCGCCAGCAGGACCAGCTGCAGCAGCAGCAGGAGAATTACCAAGACCTGATAAACCGGCTAAGCCTGAGCTCAAACTACCATCAGCGCTGGCTGCAGCACTTGCTGGGAGATTACCGATGGGTGCGAATCCAACTGGAACTGAGGGTAATTGAGCACCAGCCAATTGTTGTTGTTTCTCATTGACGAAATATTTTTCTGCTGGTGGTTTGACAACATTAACGTATACAGGTTCTACTTTGACTGGGCGTGGGTGATGTTTGACGAGAACCTTGCGCAATACAACTGCTGGTGGTTTGTGTAATACAACTGGAGCTGGTCTGACTACTAGTGGGGGATGATTTACCAACACTTTGGTTGGTGGACGTTTAACAATGATGGCGGCTGGACGATGAATTAAAATTTCACCCTTGTTTTGTGGATAAGTAATCGATGAGGTAACAGTGTTACCGCGTGTATTGGCAGGAGAGTATGGTACATTTTTGTTAGGTACACCATATGCAACAGGAGCAGCATAGCTGGGTTCAACGGCTGGCACTTGAGCACCATAGCTACTATATACTGGGCCAATTGCCTAAAAAATGAA